GGGGCACGCCATGTCTGACACTTCCTACTGTCAGGTTTCTGACAAAGGGGCAGAGACAGTCAGGGTTAGTTGTAGCAAACCTGCTAGGGGGCAGGTTAGCTTCACGGCGTGTGTCGTCATAGTGACTCAGTCAGGCTGCAGCTGAACTCGCTTTGTGAAACCGAAGACCCAGAGTTTTCGTTAACTCAGGGTATACTTACTCAGTTTTTCCACTAAACCGGCTTCCTGGAACAGGGCCCAGGTCTGTTCAGACATTTGTATCTTTGAGTTTCACACTATGAAAGAAGAATAAATATATTTAACAAAATGTGAAACATGCATGTTTTGGGCTGTTGTGACTTTATCGTTTAATGTTTTGGCTGCTTTGCAGCAGTCAAACAGAGGCCAACCAGTTTACAGGGATGGTTTACCAGGGCCTTTTGCTCAGTGAGAGGAAACGACTCCGCACAGAAAGCATTGAAGAGCATATTACTCCCACCTCTGCACCTGCACAGTGGCCAGGTAATAAGACCTCTTACTTTACTACCCAGTGGTGTATTTGGGGAGTTGGTTTGATTCCGACTGAAGAGAGGATTTGGATTAGAATATAATAACACATTTGCTCTAATTTGTAGTTTTACAAAATGAAACTGAAGTCATATTTGAGGATCCTCACAGATGCATAGGATGGGGAAAATGGCTTTCTGTGTAAACATCAAGGACAGTATTTTGTGAAAATGTGAAGAGCAGGACGAGAGAGAGCAGAGCAAAGCAGGCAGTCTGTGTTTATGCAGAGAGGCAGATGGTGTTCTATAATAGGAGCTCAGTGGCCTCTGGGAAGGAAATGGAAAGAAAGAGACTGATCACGCCATCCTGAAAAGGTTTCATAAATGGGTTCTCGATGGTGCTGAGATGGTGTTTTTGTTTGCCTGTGGAAGTTATTTGTGTAAATTAGGGGTTAATCTGTTGCACGTTTATCACGTTGGATGTGCTTCCCCTCTCTGCAGGTGTGTCGTCCCTGATTTCATTGTTGACATCTGCGAGGGACGAGGACCAGCCAAAGCTCAGTGTGCTCCTGTGTGAAGCTGTTGTGGCAGTTTATCTTTCCCTGCTAATCCATGGCCTGGGCACTCACAGCAGCAATGAACTCTTCCGCCTGGCAGCACATCCCCTCAATAACCGGGTGTGGGCCGCAGTCTTCGGAGGAGGGGCCAAAGTCGTCATTAAGCCAAAGAGGCCTGAGGCTCCACCAGGTAAAAGGACAATTTGGTAGTTAGCGATCTAAAACCTTTATCTTTACCATGTCAACATTGTTCATGGTTGTAATTATTTGCCTTTATCCCTTGATTCAGCACATGAAGTTGACCTTTTTCCTCCCACGTCTGTTTTCCCTTTAACATCTCTGATCACTTCCACTTTTGGTATTATCGCATAGATATTTACTTAGCACTGTCCTGTTGATGCTCCTAACATGCTGCTGCTACTCGTGTGTAGCGTCTTGTGTGAGTGTGCCCTCTGCCCTGTGTCCCAGCGCCAGCTGATTTTGAGGCAGCCAGGCCAGAGGAGTCTGAAGAGACAGGAAGACCAGAGCAGAGCAACTTCACCTCAAACCCCACTGTCACCCCTACTGAAACCCAGCGCCCTAAACGTCCCCCTCCTCCTGTTTTAAGGGACGAGGGGGTGGGCACTGTGGTATCTGCAGCTAACACCAGCTGTGAGTAACTGGGCTGGTGGATTGCAGTGCTGGTTTGCAGAATTGCAGTGCATGGTAATTGTAAAGGTTTGCATTGTTGCAACTGCTTGAATGACCCACCACTCTATCGTGAAGCTACTGCTGAATGAGCATTACAAACAAACAAAAAAAAATCCACTACTGTTATGACAAGCCAACAGCTGTGTGTGTGTTTGTGTGTGTGTGTATACTGCATTGCATGTACATGTTGTAACGTCCTCTGTGCTCATTTTGTGTCACTGAAGCACCAGCTGGGCCTAGCAACGAGTATTCAGAGGCCAATGCTGAGCAGCCCACTATATGTGAATCTGAGACTAAACCAGGTACACTTTCAGAGGCTTCCTGTAGCGTTCAGGCTAAATATCTACTTGTGTGTTGTCCAGATTTTAGAATGAAATACAACCACAATTCAAGAAAACCACTGCGGTGCTGTGTTAAATCTAAACAAAAACAGAATGTAATAATTTACACATTTCTTAAACCTATATTTTATTTACAATAAAACACAAATATTTTACTCTTTCATGAAAAATATTTGCTCACTTTGAATTTGATGACAGCAACAAATACCAAAAGTTGGAACAGGGTGACAAAAGGACTGAAAAGTAACATTTTGCAATTAATCAGGTTCATTTACAACATGTCACTAACACGATTGCTTTGTAAAAAAAAAAAAAAAAAAAAAAAAAAAGAGCATCTCCAAGAGCTGAAGATCATCGGTCCTCTTCAGTGTAAAACTTTTAAAATCTCATCATCTACTTTCATAGATTCAAGGAACCTGGAGAAATCTTCCCTGTGCACAAAGGACAAGGCTGTTGCCAGAGAATGCAACACCGTTGTCTTCTCTGGATCAAACTTCATTTCAAATGGACTAAGACAAACTAGAAAAACTGATCTGTGGTCAGATGAAATTCTTTTTTTTGTTAAAACATGGATGCACCATCCTCCAGACTAAAGAGGAGAGCGCTCCGTTCAGAAATGATATGGAACTGTATTAGTACCTATGGAACTAGCAGCTTGCACATCTGGAATTACACCATCAGTGCTGACTGGTATGTACAGGTTTTAGAGGAACATGTGCTCCCATTCAGATTAGTTTTTCAGGGAAAGCTTTGCAGATTTCAGCAGCTGCATTCCCATATCAGATAAGAATGGGACAGCATTCCTCTCCCAAAAGTCCAGCAGCTGCTCTGCTCAGACAGTCCTGACTGTACAGATTAAAATAAGGTTGGATCCTGCACAGTGGGTAAACATGGCCCTGCCCCAACTTTTTTGAGACATGTTGCTGCTATCAAATTGGGAACGAGTTAATATCCTTCTTAAAATGGTACTTAATCTCCCTTCAAACGTTTGATATGGTTTCTATGATCTACTGTGATGAAAACAGATTAGCAAAAATTGCATTTTGTTTTTCATTTGCATTTTACACGGCATCCCAACTCTCTTGAAACTGGGATTGTATTTTGAAGTAATGCAAATGGAGTTGGTGTACGTAAGTAATTTGCAGTTGAGTTAGTTACTGCATTATAGATTTATACTAGCGCTTGTGTGACATGATTCAGGTGTTTGTCTGTTTATTTCAAAAACTAAGCCATTCCCAAAGTGCTCACAGCTCTACTGTGGCACTGTTGGCTGAAATTGACACTGTTCATCCATATTCATCAGGCCAGAGTATACCGTGCTCACATTGTGTTTGTGAGGGAGGAAGATGGGGACTGGCATTTAGACTCCACATCTCTAGAGCTTCAGGCAGCTCTGAGCAAGGCCAGGGGCCTTTTGAAGAGCTCCTTTAGAGGACAGGCCATCTTAAATGCCAGCCTGTTGATAAAAATCACTTGTTAAAATTGTCCTTTTGAGGGCCGCTGCAAACCTGCATGCATGCCACAGTCACACAGCTTTAGAGAAAAGGTACATGCTGATGCCCAACTGTCATGTTCTAATTAACTCATTTTAACCTTAACATACTGTAGTTGCCAGTCTCATCCTGTTTGCCTATTAAGTGCTGTGGATATGAGGAAATGCTTAGCACATGATCGCTGAAGAAATTTGCCATCGTTTGATGTGTTCTTTGTGCCCACACATGAAATATTCACTGATTCTATTATGTAATGGACTGTGCAGTATCTGTGTGTCTAACTGCACTGTCTACTCTGGTTTGTGTCTTGTCTTGTTTTGTCTGGTGCGATACCAGAGATGGTCATCCTGGATAATGGTGCAGGTTTGTGTACTAGCGAGTGTTTCTTGCCCTGTGCTTACATCCCAAACGTGTGCTTTTTGTGCCTTTTTGTATTTCTCCTTTCCAAAAGTGTATGACGTGTCATTTGTGACTGAAGTTAGGTGCAGACAGGAGCCTCCTTTCTCAGGTATTATGTGTTTTGTGTAGGATGTGGATGCAGTACTTTTCCTCCGGATCTATTTCTTTCTTCTTTTTTGGATTTAAAGTGATGCTGAGTTTCAGCTGATCTTCAGCCTTTGTATAAAATGCAGCACACTGCAGAACTCTTTTCAAATTGTCTTGTGTTTGAAATATACCATTTCTTCATTCTTCTTCTGCTACAGTGGCTCCCCCTCAGCCCCCAGCAGAGGATGTGGACCGATACAGACGCAGATTCAACATGAGGATGCTGGTTCCTGGACGCCCTGTAAAGGAGACACCTGCCACGCCACCTCCTGTTCCCGTTGAAAGACCCACCTACAGGGAGAAGTTCATTCCCCCAGAGCTGAGCATGTGGGACTATTTTGTGGCCAAAGTAAGAGAGTAAAACTGTCAAACTGAATCTTTGCTTCAGATTTAAGGTTTAAAAAAACAAAACAAAACAATATACATATTTAAGCCTTTCATTTACTCTTTGCTGATCATTTCCCCTCTCAGCCTTTCCTGCCGCTGTCAGACAGCAACGCCCTGTATGACTCAGACGAAAGCGGTGCCGAGGATGACGAAGATGATGATGACGCCTTCCTATCTGACACACAGATGACTGAGCACTCTGACCCCAACTCTTACAGGTACAGCCAGCCATGCTTCTTTCTCTTTATTTCCTCTGAGACTCATTGAGGTTCATATTTTAATTATTTGTGTGTTTGTGGGTTATGTAGCTGGTTTCTGATCCGCCTGGTCATGGTGAAACTGGCTTATCACAATGTCAAGAACTTCATTCCTCTCACTGGCCTGGACTTTACAGGTACATGCTCGCCAAAAGACCGATCCTAAACGCCTCTCTAAACGTAAGCGATGCATTCTTTATGAAGGTGCATGGAAATATTTTAGGACATTTCAACAATAATTTGTTAGTCATATGGAATCCACAGATAAACGCTTCATAGCTTTTTGCTTCTGAATATCAAATTTGTATATGTGTTTGTGTCACAGAGCTGCCAGTCACGTCCCCTCTGAGCAATGCTGCCTTGAAGACTTTGGAGACCTGGGAGCAGCTTCTGTTGGAGCGAATGAATACGTTTGATGGCCCACCTCCCAACTACATCAACACTTACCCTACTGACCTCAGCACAGGAGGTGGCCCTGCAATACTGCGACATAAGGCCATGCTGGAGCCTGACAACACACCCTTCAAGTGAGTATTACATCATCTATATGTAATTTTTGTCTTTGTACTTACAGCAGATAAATAGATAAGGCCTCAGTAGCACAGATGTAGACACCAGTTAGTGACCAAAGGTTGCTGGGGGGAAAAAAACAGTATTCTCTCCGAACAACTCGCTAACTGCTCACAAGTGGTAGTGAAATAAGTGTAAATCGACTGGAAATGGAAAACAAGTTCCACCCTTAGAAACATATTGGTTTCAGCCAGAAGGCATAACTTGAATTTTGAAAATGGCTGTTCTTTCTTTCCAGATTCACATCACATTTCTTCAAGCTTTCGTGTTTTTTCAGGCTTTACTTGCTAAAGATTGCTGGCAAGTGTTTGCAGACAAGACAGTTTTCTTCCATGCAGACTACAGGAATTTGTGTTACTCTGTTAGTTTCTTTGCTTCTGATTTTTCAAAGTGACAGTCACAAACAGCCTGTTTGTGATCACCTTGTTTTCATCCACTTTTTTTTTCTTTAGGACAAGGAACCACCAGTCCTTTCCAGCCCGACGTTTGTGGCATTTCCTGGTCAAACAGGAAGTTCTTCAGGAGACATTAATCCGTTACATCTTCACAAAGAAAAGGAAGCAGAGTGAGGTCGGCACATGGCATTTAATTTTGTTTTTTTCCTTAGATGAAGTTTATAATTTCTTTTATGAATTTTAAGTACTTGAACATCACATTAGTCGGCAACTATATTATGTTGGTTTTTTCTTTTATTCTTTTTTTTCCTCCTCATCTTAGTGTAACACATGATTGTCAAAGAAAACAAATTTCTGAAGTGGATTTGCTGACATTAGCCCAGGTTAACCACACGTAAAGACACGACGCCTATAAACAGAGATTTATGATCCTTGTAGGCATCAAACAACTAGCCCTACCAAAGTGAAGTATCCGAACAGTTTTTACAAAAATAACATATTTTATATGCCTTTTAATTTAACTTTAGTTCTTAGTGTGCCGCATGTCCACAGTAGGTTTTCCCTTAAAAATGGAAAACGGTATCCAGATGCTCGGTTGTCCAGATATTTTTTTATTTTTTTCCCAGATCTTTTTTGGAATATTTTTGCAGTCTATTAGTTGGAAATGGCAATTTGGTCATTTTTTTTAGTCATGTATCTAAATTCATCCCTTGATTTTTTTTATTATTTTTTTTAAAGCGCACCGAGTGAGCATTTTTATCACTATTAATATTTTTCTTATCTTTGCTTTGACTCCTTTAACATATAATCAAGTATAAGATGGTTCACTGCCTTCTGTGATGTCTGAATCAGTCACTTTTATGACAGACTGCCAATGCAGCTCGAACTTAAAAAAAAAACCTCCTATAGATTCTTGTCCTCATGCCTAGTTAATAATTAAAACCTTTTTCGCTAACTGGAATAACATCATGTCAAATTCAGCTGTAATAGTAAGATGTCTCCATACCTGCTGCAACATGTCTGACTTACTCCCATTTTATCACCAAGTATACAATATCCTGTCAGCTTTGTTAATTTTTTTCATTTTCATTTCATGATTTATTTTTCTGTTTGTGCATGTGTGTTGTGTCGTGCTGTGTTGGTGTGTCCTGTGTCTATATTGCCTCTGTGTGTGTGTAGTCTGTAGAGAACCATACGGACCGTATAAGCCCACACTGCAAAGCAGGAGCTAGCAGTTCCTATAAGGTAGTATCATTTACTGTACCAGCCCAGGCCCTGGCTCTGTCTGAGCATCTGTCTATCTTTTCTGTCTGGGAGAGTCATTGCGAAGCCAAGCTTGAAGGAGCAAGTGCATTAAACACTAAAAGAAATCTTGCACCAGTTGCACAGGGTTTGGTTTGCAGTTTGTTTTGAGATCCCGCCACGCTGGGGTAAAGCACTGCATGTCTCCTCTCTAGCTTGGCCTGATAGTGACTGCTCTGGTAATTTTTTGGCATAAAATCTACTCGAAGCTCTATGGCTTAGATCTAATGTCTAATCTCTTCCTCTCACTGGGACACTTATCCACTCACATAACCTCATATCCAAACCTATCAATAACTCATCTCCCTGTGTAGCTCACATCCTTTCTAGCTGGACTGATTCTGCAGGACTCAAAATCACATAAATGAGATGGCACACACTTTAAACCTACTAACTTGCATGCTCACTGTCAGGGTGTGGTGGCGAGGCTTTCTAACTGGAGGGTGTCAGCTCAGAAGCTCAGTAGTCATACTTGTCAATATTTTCTGTTTTCTATCCTACTAGAGGGAAATTAAAGTCTATTTATTTTTCAAAAAATCTCCTTCATACCATTAATCTGACCCAGGAGAACCTTATTTTAGTGTTTCTCTCTTCAGCTTTGATGTTTTCCTTTTCTTTTTGTCTTTTCCAGGTGGAGGCTGATTTGGGCTACCCTGGAGGAAAAGCTAAAATCATCCACAAGGAGTCTGATATAATCATGGCATTTGCCATAAATAAGGTCAGTTGTGGGTGTTAACTTGTGTAAAATACTGGGGAAAACTTGTGGTTCATAATTTCCTTTGATTCTGAGGACACTGTACATGGAGACAGGATTATTAGATAGATTTATATTGAATGAAGGTTTCTAGAAATCCTTTTTAAGTAGCAAATACATGGCAGTTACTTTCTGGGAATTCAGAGAAGCTAGTGATATGTGTTGTCTCGCCTTATCCACCGTGCTTCCTTACTTTCCTAGGCTAACTCTAATGAAATAGTGTTGGCTTCCACCCATGATGTCCAAGAGGTTGATGTGTCCAGTCTAGTAGCTGTCCAGCCCTACACGTGGATTGGGGAGGACTTTGATAAGGAGTCTCGCAGGTCAGACTAGCAGCAGATCTCATGATTTCCTTCAAATCTCACCGAGCCTGGACTGCACACTCCCTGTCTCCTCTCCAATTAAATGATAGCTTGTGTTTTTTTGTTTGTTTGTTTTACAGCTCTGATGATGTAGATCATCGTTCTTCGCACACCAATATTGCCCAGGCTAGCTCCGTCCCCTTTGCACCACCGCAGATGCCAGTCTCTGCATCCATGCCGTGGCTCGGTAGTGGTCAGACCAGTATGGGAGCCAGTGTGGTACGCGATTCTTCACTGCAAATCTACACAGCTGTGCAACCTGAATCCAGCAAAACCAGGCAGCAGTACATATGCAGTATTTAGCGATAACCAGTAGGGGGTGATTAAGTTCTGTTTCAGGGCTCATAGAAAGGGTGGCATGACTCTGCAGTCGTTTCATTTCATAATATTCATTAGTAAAGATTTAGATGTATTTTTACAAAATGAAAACGCTTCATTTAAAACTTCTGCTTCTGGAAAAAAATCAATTTAATTTGGGGATTTTATTCAGCAGTCTGCCGGGCTTGCACGTTTTCAGGCAAAGTTTGTTTTTTATTGTTATCGCTGCTGAACCACGCCGACTAAACAGCTGGCCTGCTGAGTCTGTAGATGCAGATACAGACTGGGGGTGTGTCTGCATGGCAGTGATGGCCAAATATAAACACAGATATCAGAAGCCCTTTCAGACGGCTAGCCAAGGTACAGATTTGCGTCAGACTAACACGCAGATAGGTTCTCAGTGTCCCAGCCACGGTGATAAATGTTTAGTGTGATACACAAAGGAGGACAAGACCGAGGGTGTCATAGAGGTTCAAACGACTGTGGAAGGGGTTTTGTTAAGTGTGAAGGTTGAGGAGGGCTCTCTTAACATATTCAATTATCATATTCTGATGTGCAGCAAAATTAGTTGCATCTGTCTAAAAGCTACTATCTGTCCAGTTTTAGAATTAGTCTTTACAGCAGTGGTCAGAAAAAAAGTTTTTTCATGACCAAAATGTGAAATTACATGCATGTAAAATACTTTAAAGATATTGTTGATGCTGAAGAAGTCATGAAAGTGCAGGAATGAGTTTTAACGAAAAGAGCTGGAAGCTCTGAATATTGAGGCGATCTGCAGAAATTTGCTTGATGTTTGAAGTGATGTGTTGGTGTGTAATTTACCATAGTCACGTATAAGTCTGAACGAGTGCACACCTGAACGAGTGTCATGTGTGTCTGAGAAGAAGATTTGATAAAAGGGATTTAAACTCTTGCGCACATAGATGGTGCCTTAGTCAGCCCATCATCCAATCACGTTACTGCTTAGGTTAGCCCAAGGCTCCACTTAAAAATGCCTAAAGACTGCTTGATGACCACTGATGATCGGCGCTGCACTGAATAGCTGTTTGCGATTGCTTTGGCTGGTAGCAGATTGATATGGTCGCCTTTGATTAATGTGTAAACCAATTTGTCTGCAAAAACTTGCTAAATGCACGCTAAGTGGTAGTGACACTGTGAAGAGTGGAACCCAAACGGGCAACAGTTATTGCTCAGGGGGTCGTCAACCACTCACTAGGCTGATCTTCACGCCTGACGTTTTCAGATAGTTAACTTAATTGTTTGCCCAATTAATTTAAGCTAATTACAAGATAAATGTATGTTTATATTGATGTCTTTCAGATTATGAAGAGGAATCTAAACAATGTGAAGAGAATGACATCCCATCCCATATATCAGTACTGTGAGTGCTACTTTGAGAGGATTCACCAGTATACATGTTTACCATGTATAAGTAAATTATATAGCTTCTCCTGCTTTGTATTCCTGTTCTTTTCCCACCATCTCTCTCCCTTTCTTTTCCTGGTTTGTGTGTGTGTGGGGCTGTGTATCAGACATGACTGGGGCTCAGGATGGTAGCGTGAGGATGTTTGAATGGAACAGACCTCAGCAACTCATTTGCTTCAGACAAGCAGGCAACGCTCGAGTCACCCGTCTCTATTTCAACTCCCAGGGCAACAAGGTACACACACAAAGTAGCAACTGTGTTTTGTGTGTACGGTGCCATTGTTCTGATTCCTCTGAAACATTCTTGTAGTGTGGAGTCGCTGATGGAGAGGGCTTCCTCAGTCTCTGGCAGGTTAACCAGACATCGTCCAACCCTAAACCGTACCTGGTAAGGTTCCCTCCCACCTCCTTATTCACAGTCGCAGCACACACACAATATGAGTGGTCTGTATAATTCAAATGAAAATGTGCTTTTATTTTCCTGTTCTTGCTCTCAGAGTTGGCAATGCCACACTAAGACCTGCGGGGATTTTGCTTTCATCACATCCTCCAGTCTCATCGCCACGGCCGGACAGTCCAATGATAACAGGTCAGATTTGGACGACTAATCAAACACTGCTCTCTTTCTTTTTGTTTATTTTTTCCAGCTGCATAATATTTTGCTTTATGTTATTTATAGAAATGTTTGCCTGTGGGACACTCTGATTTCACCTAACAATACTATGGTGCATGGTGAGAAATCCATATTTATTCTAATAAGTGAGTTTCAGTGATTTTCTTTTTCCCTATATTTCAAGTTTATCCACTTTTACTTCCTACCTCCCCCTTCAGCTTTTCCCTGCCATGAGAACGGGGCCACTGTGCTTCAGTATGCTCCTAAACAGCAGCTGCTGATTACTGGAGGCAGAAAAGGCTTTGTGTGCGTGTTTGACATCCGACAGCGGCAGCTGCTCCACACTTTCCAGGCCCATGATTCAGCCATCAAGGCCCTCGCATTGGATGCCTTTGAGGACTTCTTCGTCACTGGCTCTGCAGAGGGCAACATGAAGGTGACGCATGCTCTTTCTCTCACTCACTTCCTTGCTGATACACGCTCACATTGTGTGCTGAGGAATAATATCCTTTTGTGTCAGTGAATGTTATTAAACATAAGCACTGTGTAAAGCATTCAGCATCAAAACTACTGAGAATTCTTTTATATTCATTCCAACAGTTTGTTTTTTTTAATCCATAAACTGGAGGAGTATTTGGTGCAGCTCTCTAGCCTTCAAACAACACTTTTGTCCCTGGATTTAAGATTCCAGGTCTAGTTTTTCAGGCTTTGCTGTTGTGGTTTGTTTATTAAGTATTCCAGTATAAGGTGATGAGATCAAAGACTTAAAACACAGAGGTGATACGGTCTAAAGGTCAACACTGCACTGCCGGGATGACTGCGTTCTTGTTATAGATGTTATAAGCAGGAACAAGAAAATGTTAAAGGCAAAAGATTTGGAGAAGTGAGTCTTTCATGCTGCTTTTAATCAACTCAGATTCTTTAATCTTTTAATGTAAACTCAGACTGATTTGATGATAAAGCCTCTGTGGGTGCCATACTGTCTGCTGCAGGAAGCCTTGTTCTTCTTGTCACTAAAAATAGTTTGTTATGACTTTGGCTGAACTAACTAAAACACAGACTACTGTATGTTATATATTCAAATCTGACTTCGGATTTATCAGTGACAGTCAAAGCAGCAGTGTGTTAATGTTTGGCACAATCACATGGAGTACTGGTTGAAATTACTGTCCTGAAATATTTGAGAATTATTTTTATTACTGATAAATGTGTTCTCTGTATTCTGACTTAGTTGATTGGCTAATAAAAATTGCTGTGATCACCTGTAGTTTTCATGGAAGACACCAACTTGTCTGGAAATACTCGCCATTTACTCTACATGTTGTGAAATGTAAAAACATTTAAGGAAACCAGAAATTAAAGCTGTTCACCTTCAAAGTAAAATTTGTGCCTGATCACTGTAACTAACACATTTGAAAGGGTGCAGACGGTGTCTGTTTTTTGTTTGCATCAGACTTTCAATCATTTCACTTCTGCTTGGCGAGTGTTTACAGACAAGTCAAGGTATGCAAACTACCGGCAACTGCGTCAACCTGCTAGAAACAAAAGCAAACACAGATTAGCACTCTATACCCATGTCCAACCTCTTTCTCTTTTCCTGCTACTGCCATCAACCTCCAGCAACCACCTTTTTGGGATCCTTAAAGCACATTTGTCTCTTTGTAGAAACAACATGGAAAAATGCTAATTGATCACAAATGCCAAACAAGTGGTGTCCCCAGCCAAATAGTTTTTAATTTCTCCAGTTTCATTATTTAAAAAATGCTCTGTTTGGGTTTTTTTTTTTTCCATCCAGAAAACCCTGGGAAGAGAAACTAATTATATACTCTGTTCTCGCTCTCTCTTCCTTTGTACCCAGGTGTGGAAGCTAGCCGGCCACGGGCTCATGCACTCTTTTAGCATAGAGCACGCCAAGCAGTCCATCTTCCGGAACATCGGCGCAGGTGTCATGCAGGTGGAGACGCGACCCGGAAACCGAATCTTCACCTGCGGAGCAGACGGCACCCTAAAGATGAGGGTCCTCCCAGACCGCTACAATATCCCCAGCAGCTTGGTTGACGCCCTGTAATGCTTTTTGTAATTCTGAGGGTCCTAAGAGGAAAGGGTCAGAAAGTGGAGGAAAAAACCGAAATGCTTCTGTAACACTCTGTAGGCATTAATAGAAACGCTGCTGGGGGAAGAGTTAGTCAAAAGATTACCACGCTGTTGGCAACTTTCAGCATGAACGGTGTTCATGAGTTTACTGTTGGCCGTATCCAGAACGATTAAAAACGGAGCTGCAAACATTTTATTTTCCCAAAGGCTGAAAACAAAGTTACAAGCAAATGGTATCATACTTGATTTTAAAGCTAGTTTTATTGTAATTTTATCGAAGAATCTCTACTCTTAGAGTGTGTCCATAGGGAAGCTATGCATGTCCTGTTCTCGTTATGCGGTGCAATCACAGGTCTATTGATAGTGCTCTGTAAAAGTGCTCAAGCAAAAATTTTAAAAGTGTGTAACTGTCGTCATTTTGTGCCCACAGCTGAAATCTCTTAGCATCTACTGTAACCAGCACCGTGGTTTGTTATTAAGTCAGTGGTTTCCAGTGTGAATCGAGTTGTTGGAATCTGCATTTTGTTTCGATGGTTTTTGCCCCCCACCCTCCTGCCTTTTATTTGCCCAGCTTTCTCAGCTCCGTGGAAGAGTTGATGGTGCATTTGGTCCTGATAGTGACACCTGTCTGTATCCCCCCCCCTTCTCTTTTTCCACTGGCTGCCCATCACTCACTTGGCCTATAATGGTTTGGGTTCAGCCCGCTCCAGTTTGGCCCTCTGCGTGCGTGTTCACTCTGCTGTGTCTGCCATCTGTACGTCTGCGCGCCCACCTGCCCTCAAATGCCTGTTTGTGCGGCAGACTCACTGCTAGAACATTCCTGTTTGGAAGACGGTGTGTTTTACTCCTGTGACTGTGATTTCAGTGTTTCCATCTGTCTGGTACAACGCTAAAGATCCACCCACCCACTCACCCCAGAGCAGAAACACAAAGGTTCACTTCTGGTTTTATCACAAAGATTTTATTTTATTTGTTTGTTTTTTTTTTAATTGAGTTGATTTTCTTATTTAAGTTATTTATGTTTGTGTTCATTTGGTTGACCATTCCTTTCTAAAACTATTTATCTTATTGCCTTTTATTTTAGGAATGTAAGGGGTTTTACTGTAATCTGACTGGGAGATGTGCAACAGTCTGCTGTATGTAAGTGTGTTTACCTCACTAGTTGTTTTTACTGTTTCATCCATAAGGAATAGATATTTGCACTCAAATTCTGGAGACACTAAAAGTTTATTTCAAATAAATAGGTTATTAAAGAGGAAACGATTATATACAAATGAATGTCTGGCTTTATTTGGCCTACTAGTACAACATTTAGTTGTACTAGTAGACTATAGAAAACTATAGAAATAGTTTTATTATATAAATATATATATATATATGAACTATCACAACAACCTTGTACAAACATGAAGGCATTTCTTTATTTTTGGTTTGTATCATACCAGTTGGATTAGTTGTAACTTTTGTTAAGTGTATGTATGGTATTTATTAAAGAGATTTGTGTTTCTCTCCCTCTCTTTCTGCCCTCTGTGTGTACTGTATGCATCTTAAGTGTTTCCCCAATGGTCCCACTGGTGTCGCGTGTGCGTGTGTGTGTGTGTGTGTGTGTGCGCGCGTGTGCATGTGTGCGCATTCATGTGCGTATGTGCACATCAAACAGTCGAAAAGAAGCCGTTATTATGAGTAGAGGCCTATTAGGGTACTTGAGCCTGAAGGTGTGTAAGAGAACAGGTCATGGTCAGTTTTACCTTTTGTAAAGTGAATAAATTCTTTTTATTTCATCAGGATGATTTGGCGCTTTTTTTCTTCTTTTTTTTTTATTTTAATTTTTATTATCCTTTTCAGCCAGACAGCTGTGCTGCTTCCTTACAAAGGCAGGTTTGTCTATATGTACAAAAAGAGGGGGAAGGGACATCACGAGTTACATCTGTATAAAAATCAAGCAGTGGTGACCCACCATGCAAAAACGCAAATGGCAACAAAAGTTGAGTTATAGGTTTGATTGGCATAAACTGCCAGCTTATACAAAATGATAAGTTTTCACACTATTAGTAAATCTTGTGTCCTTTGAAAACTCCATGTACAGTAAATACAGCACTTCCTTCATCCATCCATTCATACATTTTCTTCTGCGAAAGGATGGATACACCCTGGACAGGTCAGCAGTCGCTGCAGGGCTAACAGATAGTCAGACAAACATTCACACCTGTGGGCAATTTATAATTGCCAGTTGAGCTCACCCCACTAACTGGATGTCTTTGGACTGTGGGAGGAAGCTGGACTACACGGGGGAAACATGCAAATTCCATACAGAAAGGCTCTGGCCAGGTGGCGGATTCAAACCCAGGACCTTCTAGCTGTGAGGCAACAGCGCAAACGTCTTGTTAACCAAAACCATATTTACTTTAGTGAAATAGTTTGACAGTCAATTACAATTTCACTTAACACAAAAGTAACACGGGACAATATATTTAAAACAGCGACACACACACTGTATGTCACTCTTGTGTTATCAGTTTTCAGATGCAGTGAATAGATGAAAGTCTGCAGGCGTTTTGCTCTCAGTATTTACTGTAACAGTCGTGTTCGGACATCATGTTTCTCACTCATCAGAGATGAAGTGGACCACATACAGCCTGACGTAGCTGTGGTCCCAAACATACAGGTGTCTGTCCTTTGGGCTGTAGGAGAGCATTGCCAGCACTTCACCAGCAGACCTCAGGTCAAAGGTCACATTGACCGGCTTTCCCTTCAGCAGGTCAAACGCAAAGGTGACTCTGGTGTCTTTGGTGTCGGTGACATACAGGACGCCACAGGCGATGAAGGCGTTGCCGGCTTTGATGCGAGGATAGGTGGTGTTCACGTAGGATGTGACGGAGAAGGTCTTCTGGTCCAGCTGGGCCACCATGATGCTCTCGTCAACATTGGATGCAAAGATCAGCCACAGGCCGTTCTCATCTGCTGCCAGCTTGAAGTAGGTCTTAGAGTTGGGGAGCAGGTAGGCGAGGTTGTTGTACAAAGAGTTTTCAATAGTGAGAGTCTGAAGTCTTTTGGTGCTGAAGTCAAATCTGTGAACACACAAGCAGGAAGCTGCTAAATGAAGGATGTGGAAGTCATAAAAAATCACCTTGATGTGCATCGAGTGGCTTTAAGGCTTACTTGGCAATGCTGGGAGTGCCAGCAGCATGATAATAAAAGAAGCCATTGTGAACGATGTGGCCGCAGCCTTGATAGTACTTTATAACGTCTATGGTGTCGCTGCTGTTCTTCTGGAAGAAGGAAATGCTTTTGTACTCCTTCAGCATGCGACCTGGGGAAGAACAAGCAAAATCTTTACTGCTAAAAGACGTGGAGATTATAAAAGTGGGGACAGGAGCACATGCGCGACACTCTGTAACCAGCCTACCAGAAAAGTGATCCGCCACCCATATTCGCTCATCGTTCAGCTGAGCGGTGTCCTTCATCCATGTGCCAAATGTGGTTTTCATCTTTGTCACATTTCTGGGGTTGATCAGAGACTTAATCAGGCAGTCTGTGGGGAAAAACAAAAAATCTCAGGGGATTTACTCACAGGTCACATGACTGCACATGAACACAGCCTCCTGTGGAAACGTACCGTTCCTTTTGGCAGTCTTCTCGTGTACTTTTTCTGTCTCCTTTACAGGTGAGGTTTCATCATTTGGAATGGCATGTAGCCCTGTTAGAAGCAGTTTCATCCTGTTTTAGTCATGTCATTGATGGACTAGTTTGTCAGAAGGTTTCAATTAGACACTTTATGGGGAGGGGGGGGGTCTTTGAATTTAAAAAGAGAGAGAGAATTTGAACCTTCTTCCCGAGAGCTTTGATCGCATTGAAAATTATTTTGTCAACAACTGTTTTTAGGAACACAAATGTCACCTGCAAACTATGACTGATCTCTCACCCTGATTATGAGAAGCTTGGAGGTGAGCTCTGCGGTGCCCTATTCTGGGAGGCCCCTGAGGCCCCGGCGGGCCAGGAGGACCCATAGGCCCAGGTGGTCCTGGAGGCCCAGGTGGACCTGCTCAAATGGAGAGAATGTCTAAATGTTATCCATTTAAATTTATTTTTATTTCAGGTCATCTGCAAAATGGTTCAAGTCAATAAAGTTCTACTCACCCTCAATAATGGCATCATTGGATGGTTGGATCTTCTCTCCGGGTGGGCCCGGCTCTCCTCGCTCCCCTCTTTCTCCTGGTTCTCCTTTCTCACCTGGTGGCCCTGCGGAGAACACCGTGCAAAATAGCTAGAACATTGTATTCGTAACCTCAATACACTTTGCCCCATTGTTGAAATGAATTGTCCCATTGAATTGCTGGCATGAATCATGCCATCCACTGTGGAGGAGAGCAGAGTGAAGTGGGAGAATACTGGAAGACAGTTTTCCAGTTCATTCAGCTGAAGCCCAAAACCACAGAGATGAATAATATCGGCAAGGGAAGAAAGCTGTTTCAAACTCTTCACTCATTCATGAAGCAAAAATGTGAATAAATTCTGCTTGCATTGTGATACATGGACAGAAAGAAGTCTGTGCGTGTGTGTGTGTGTGTGTGTGTGCATGCCAAGGAGTTTAAGTGGCTGTTTCTTCTTTTTTGCTATTTTAATACTTTTCTCTGCAGGTTATACTCAACCTTTTGACTTTTACATTGTGCCAGTACTTCTATGCTTAAATGGCCAAGATTGCCTGAGGACAAAATAAGGATGGATGCTGAGTGAAAGCACTAATTCCTTACCTTTTCTTCCTCTTTTCCCATCAGCCCCAGGAAGTCCATTCAGTCCTGGGATGCCATCAGTCCCATTGTGTCCAGGCAGGCCATCTGCACCAGGCAAACCTAGAGTAACACAAAAAAATCTTTACTGTGGACTCAACAAAAGAATAAACATTAAAAAAAGACTTATCAAGAATATGGGTCACTAAACCACAAAGGAGACATACCCTACAGCAGGTTTTAAATTTGGATTAGGAATTGTGGGTTGACTTACCCGGCGGACCTGGAGGGCCTGTGAACGAAAGTTTAGAAATGTTAGAGAATTTTTTAAAAGTAATATTCTGAACATGATCACATGATTCATACGAGTAAAACATACCAGCTATGCAGACTCCCCTGGTGCTGTTGCAAATATCAATCAGCACTTTGATCTGAAGTAAAAGAGGAAATAGAAAAAATATTAATGCAGTAAATTTAGCAGCATACTTTACCTGAAATTACTCTATTAAAAATAAAAACCCTGCACCTTTTAACGTGCCAGTTAAAGATTATCTGTGTAGACTTCAGAAACCCCTTCATGTTAAAAGACACCAGCGGCCATTAAGGAAACTGCAGTTAGCATCGTGTTAATTGTGTGGTGTTCACACTCAGTAGGTATGAGTCAGCATTCTGTGCACAGGCCAGAACATGAGCCTGACATACACATTAAACTGACTGATCATTTTGGTAGATGAGAAATGTTACTACAGTCTGAGTATTAATTGTTTTACATTTGACTCTGAGCTTGGTTATTATAGAGAAAAGAGCAAGAGGAGCTAAAATATTGCATGGAGATTAAGAGCTTGTTGATGCTGACCCTAGTTCATGCAAGGCGGGCATCACCTTTTTAAAGTGCAGGTAGAATAACTGACTGCTGCACACTTTTGCTCTGTAGGGAAGTGGAGAAAAAGAAGCACTGAGGCAAGGTGCTCTAAAGGAAGATTAAATGTCGCTTTCTTTGGATGTATGGGGTAAATCTAACTCCAGTCTTTTTATATGATAGTCTCTAGAATAGAACATCCAGTTTCTGTTTTGTAGTTCAAAAACTACTGACTAGTTTTACTCGTCTAGGCTTTGATTGCAGAAGGGTAAAGGGTTCATGTTCAGAGCAAAAGGGGACTGCACTGACTGAAGTGCTAGCTTGAAATCTGATTTGCTGTTGTCTCACAGTTGAATTTGTGGCTCTAACTTCATCCATTATGCATCTTGAAATCCGCCAGCTACACATAACGCCCCCAAACCCTTGCCGTTACCCTCTGAGTCATCAGAAGCTAGTTAATGAGTTTCACAGAGTGTTTCCAAAGAAATCAGACTGTTCAATGTTACTGAGAATGTCAGGAATGTTTCCTTTTTTAAGTTACATTAACATTCATTGGCTCAAATTCAGTCATTCACATTGGTTGAAATTCTTTTGTATAGAGCTTTTAAGTCAGTATCTATAGAATAATATTTAAGATATATACATAATTATCTGCGAGGAATATTATTATTATTATTATTATTATTTGATATGTAATAATATTTACTTTGTGGCAGTGACTAGAGTAAGTCATGTTCAATAAGACGAGCATGATTTGAATGCAGAATCTCAGTATGTTAAATAACTACAGTTTTTCTGTGAAATGTAGCTGAGTAGAAGCTTAAAATGGTACAAAATTAAAATTCAAGTGTGTTTACAAAAAAGTAGTTTGATAAATGGAAATATTCTGTTGGAGTTTTATTAGGACATCTAAACTAAAATTCCTGTAATC